ATTCCAGCTAAAGAGGAAGGAAAATAACTCCGAACCATTAAACCATCCCTGCTCTTACCTTTACTTCAAAACACAAGCTGCAATGCGAGATTTGGGGGGAAAATAGGATTTTAGTGCTAGTGATGACCCCCCAAACCCCAGGGGCCCCTTGAAGCCTGAGGCCATCGTGCCTCCAAGTGGCTGAACCCTCTGGCAAGGATTTGCTCCTGTATTTTATGAATAATAAATCTCTCAGTTCAGCATTGTTGCAGTTCTGGGATGTAATTCCCAGGAAATGTTATTTAAGGAGCTTGTTTTAATGAGGGATGTTCAGAACATCAGGTTTTCCTCCAGCCTCCCTCTGAATCTGGTCTTTCCCAGAGAGACCCTCCTGACCCTTGGCCATCCCCTCCTGCATCCCCACAGGGAATGTGGGATGGTGTAGTTCCCAGCTGGAGGGCATGAAATGGGATCCTGTTTTTCTAGGGAGGTGGAAAACAACATTTGAGGCTTTATTTTTGGTTAAATCCAACCAGCCAACAATAGCAATAAGAGCTGCTGGATACCCATAAATCCAGTTATTTTTGGTTTGAGCTTTTTTTTTTAAACTGCCAATATTTTCAGGCCCTCCAACTCTTGTCCCCAAACTGTGGTGACCCAATGGCCATCTTCCCTTCGCTTTGCTCCTGAGCCAGGATCAGCCTCCAAATATTTTCTCTGCTGTGTGTTAGCATTCCCATAGGGAAAAAAGGAAAATAAAGCCTGTGTCAGAGCTTGGGAGGGAGGAAATCTTGGAAAAGGCATTTCTGTGGCATGTTGCACCATGGCACTTGGAGATTCTCTGGCAATCAGGTAAAAGAACTTGTGGGAATATTTGCAGGGCAGGAATAGCAAAATACGTGGTTTGACAGGAGCGATTCCCGTTTGGAAACGCTTGATTGTGCTGCTTATAGGGAATAATCTTGATACAACATGGCCACCTGCAGCCTCCCTGCATCCTCCTGCAAGAGATGGAGCTGGGAGATGGAATTTTCCTGGGGGCAAAGGGGTTCAGGATCAGGGGAGGGATTTGTAGGGAAGCATGGCAAGGTGCAGGATCACACCCCAACCCTCCTGTTCCTACAACGTGGCCTCAACCCATACCAGGCTCCCACCCCTCTTTCTATGTAATTAATTTTAAATTAATTTAGACCACCAGACCGGCTCATTTTTAAGTATTATTGGACCTCTTAAATAAAAATAGATACCAAAAAAAAAAATATTCCCTGAAAGAACAACAACAGAAAAAATTAAACCCAAGAGTAACCACGTCTTCCAAGTCTACATCTCACAGGTGTGTAGGGAACATGGCCTTGGACTGATGCCCTGGAGAGCCCCACAGCCTCAGTTTGTCCATCTGAAATGTAAATTTGGGGTTATTTTCCTGTTTGTTTTCTGTTCTGGTTTTGGTTCTGAAGATCAGGTCGTGATCTCCCTGACAGATTTCAGCCAAGAGTTTGTAACTGTACGATATTTACTGTAAGATGTAGAACATTCGATAACTATTAAAATGTTTCCAAAAAAAAAAATTAAATAAATAAATAAAAGAGCCCGAGAGGGTTTGGTGGTTGGTTTTTTTGGCACGGTGATGTTGTGGAGAGGTGAAAGGGACCAGCCATAAACTCTTTTTTGGGTTGATGGTTGAGGTTGATGGTCTCCAACTTGTGTGGGTTGTTCCGGTGATCCCAACATGGCCAAGCCACCGTGATCCCATAGAAGCAATTCCTATGGAAAGTGAAATGTGTGATCTTCACAGCGAGCACCATCACTGTGTGCTCCTGAGATGGATGGAGGGAGGGATGGAGGGAGGGAGGGATGGAGGGAGGGAT